TTTCTAATCACTAGTGCTGATTTAGGCTATGATGTTCCACCATGGACGTTGGCCAGAGACTGCCATTTTGAGTCTTAGCACCATCCATAAACCTACATATTCTTCTAGATGAAATGCTGAAAGAATCCCATGCAGCATTTAGGCTGAGTACCAATACTCCATTGCGTATTTTCTTTTCGCAACATGAAGAGGTAAACCAGCCTTCCTTGTTCCTGGTTTGTTTGTTTTTTCATGTGTAGGATTCAGATGTCCAAAGAACCACAGTGCAAACTATTTACAGGAAAGCTGCATCATGTGATAGAAAAAGAAACTTGCTTGCATTTCCATTTGCTTTCAAGTAAGCATTCCTCCTTGCCTTTCCAAATGCTTTCCTGTTAGCAGAACTACTTGCAAGTACTAGCTGGCCATTTCAAAGATAAGCTTCTTGAGAACAATGCTCTCTATTTATAGGGAAGTTAAATACTTACCACTGTAATAAGTAGTCCACCTGTACTTGACAGCATTCTTCAGGATGTGGTACAGATGATGCTAGTAATCTTTATGGTCCATGTATGACTCCCATTGCTTTGGGTTCCAGTGACACTAGCCAGTTTTGTCCCCTTTCCATGAGTTCACCATAGTATGTGCACACAAATTCCTCAACATGCCACAAAACTCAAGATAGCACCTATTTAACCTGTTCTGTTGGATTTGTTAGTTCTAGCTCAGTTGGTAAAGCATGAAATTCTTAATCTCAGGGTCATGGATTTGAGCCCCACATTGAGCAAAAGATTCCTGAATTGCGGGGGTTGGACTAGATAACCCTTGTGGTCCCTTCATGTACGATTCTATGAGGATGTATCTATAAAGAAGAGGTAGTATCCGATGAAATTGTCATGCTGGCGCAATGAAAATTCCCCACCCTCTCCTCTCCCTCTGTGCCTGCCAGATCTACTCAGGAAGCTTGGGGGGGAACCCAGAACAGATTTGAAGGATACATGATGGGAAGGGGGCAGTTCTGATGCATAAGGAGAAGCCCTTGTGCAAATAGGGCGACCTTTATGGATATGCCCCAACACTTTGTTCTGTTCAGTAGCTTAATAATGATCCCTTTTTGTGTGTGAAACAATTTGAATGGTGTGACTTCTTTATAATAAGGGCTGAGCATTCTGCCACCCCCCCACCCCCACCCCCCGGTCATGACACCAGTCTTTTCCACAGAGCAGTTAGTAATGGGACCTGAACTCAAATCACAGCATGGTGTCCTGCCCTATTTACCTGGGATTCAGACTCTGGTTAATCTCTTTGTTCATTGTTCCTGTGAGGTGCTTCTTGACAGAAAACACCTCAAGGTGAGCCCTTTCAGAATAAGAATCATTCATGTGGATCTCTTCCATTGTTTTCCTACAAAAGTCAGTTTATTATCTGGGCTTGTGATGCATAGGATGCTACTTAGACTGAGGTCGGTGGATAAATCAGCAGTAAGTATGGTAAGTATGTTAATCACAAATCCAAGCTTATCTCCTGCAAATAGCAGAAACATGGCATTGAATATTCTGTCATGTGGAGGGAAATGATTATAGTGTCTGCTTCTTGTTCTCCACATTTCTCTGTAGTGTCTGAAACAGAACTTTTTTTATTGTTCCTTTTCCTCGATTGTAACATGTCTTGTAAAGGTGTGTGAAACAGTGTGGGAACCGCTTGTGCATCCTGTCTTTCCTAAATTATGTGATGTCCTGAAGTCACTTTTAGGTTCAAATGGCATGTTAATGTCAGTAAAGGCTGAACCCACTGAATGGGTCATGAGAAGCTGAAACCCATAAATATTTTTGCCCAGTGAGGTACATTGTGGTTCTTCGTACTTAAAGCAGAACTGAGGTAGCTTGAACTTTCACACTAGGTGTAACAATAGGCCCATTTGCTTAAATGTCTATCTGCCACAAAACTATATTACATGGGGATGGCATAGATAGATCTTTGGAATAGTGGATGGTGTGCAGGTGAGAGGGGTAATGAACTCTTCCCTGTCTGCAAAACTTACCTCCCTTCCCCAGCCCTGCATTTTTCTGCAAAGTCGAGTACTGTACCAGTACTAGATATTAACTCAGCTGGGCAAGAAAAGCAGTTATGAGCAGGGTCTAGGTCACCTCACAGTTGACAGATTAAGGTCCAATCCTGGGGTGACCTTGAGCCAATAACCACAGCAGGGCGGAGAAAAGTATATTTTATTCAGACTGCAGTAAGAAGGTACAGGATTCCAAAGCCTGTACACCTCCTGGGTGCCCATGAACTGTTTTTATACACGTTGCTTACATTGAGCCATCAGGAGAGTAAATTGTGTTACATGCTGATTGGTTACGAAGCGTTGACGTATGCATTGGCATAGATTCACAGTATTTGCACGTGATTCGGCTTTCTGCGCATGTTCTTCAGTTCTGTGGTGTGTTACTTCTTTATTTCCACTATTGTTACAGGGAAATGTTCTCCTCGCTGTTCCTCAGCAGTACATTCCAAAGGGAGAGGTAGCGATTGAAAAAGCACAGCAAGCAATGCGTGGATCTGTTGCCTCAGGGACAGTGGCTACTGGCTTAAAATGGCGTTTGTCCGGTTCCAATCCTCTTCATCCCCCGTGGCCTGTTTTGCTCTAAAACTCAGATATTGCCTCCTCGCTGTACAGCATTTGGGTCAGGCTCAGGCAAACGGCTCTGCCGGTGTCATGTGTAGATTTGAGTTTGTCATATGCCACAGTGACCAGTCCTTGGCTGGCAGCCATGAATTTAGGAGTTTGGGTGACTTGGCTGTGATTGGTCTCACTAGGCCTCGTCCCACTGGCAGCCACGTATGGTTTCATAGCAACAGTTTAGGGCAAGCTCTCATTGACTCCAGCTCATCAACATTATTCAGATTAGGAATCTGTGAATTGGAACATTCACAAGAATCCCAGTTAGGATTATTATTTCCTCCCGGTCATTTAGATTCCTAGAACTAAATAAAACTATAAATAGGGATTTTATAATCCACATGGACAGGATTACTGAGGCAGCATGAATAACCCATTGTTAGAGGTGACTTTTATTTCTGACTAGCAATATGCCAAGAGTAATGGCTGGCCAGGGTATGTATGGGGGGGACGGGACATAATAAGAATTCTGCCATGTAGGGTGATGGCAGAAAACAATCCTTAAGATGTGTCTCCTTCTGCTTGTGCACCTGAAGGGGCCATTAGAATATTGTTCTCTATATGATCCCAAAAAACTGTTTAAGGCATTTTCTCCTCTCTCATATGTTATCCCAAAGGGGGGAGGTTTTGAAGGTTTTTCACCAGCCAGAAGAACAAGGCTTTTTCTTGACAGTGAAAATAGGCCTATCTCAGGAATGTCTGGCTTGGGCGAGTAAAAGATAAAGAGCAAGGTTGAATAGTTTGAATGAATGTTATTGTAACCCCAGAGGGAGGGACTGGACATACGTGAACCAAGGAAGTCCAAATATGGAGAAACGAAAGCTAAATTCTATACCATTTCCCGTAAATCACATGCTTTCTTGTAAATCAGATGATAGACCGTCACAGGGGATATAAAAAGGGCTGGCAGGCCCAGAGAGGGTGGGTAGGAAATGAATTTTACCTTGTCTGTACCATTATTTTGTCATGATAAAATAAAAATGATTTTACTGCTGTCAAATTGACTTTTTGAAGCGAATTCTGATGCTCCGAAGGGAAGGAACTAAGAAAAGGTCTTTCACACCTTGTGTTAAACTGTGGTTTAGTGCAGGGGGTGGGGAACCTTTTTCAGTCTGAGGGCCATTTGGCAAACCTGCTGCAGTGCAGGTATCCTGCCCAGGGTGGGCTTGATCCAGGCGCAACCTGGTTAACAGACGGACGCACTGATCCATTGTACCACAACAAATGTCCATTTACTTTTCACATTCCTCTCTGACCAGGAAAGCAAGAAGCATCTTGATAAGAGTTAGAGGGTGCATTCTCACTAGGCGAAAACACACAATGCAGGTGTGAAAGCAAAGTTGGTGAGGGGCGTGGCCTTGGGAGGGGGTGTGGCCTAGAGAGAGTCCCAACGACCCCAAATAGGCTTGGAGTGCCCTGAGATTCCCATCGCTGGTTTAGCAAGACAGTCAGATGCAGCCCTTGTTGGGAGCAGGCTGTTTTTAAAATACATATACAGGTCAGAGAGAAGAGAGAGAGAGCACACATTAGGAAAAGAAGCCGGCGGATGCTTTTGTATGGCTGTGCTGAAATGTTCCCCAGTGTTCAGTATCAAAAAGACAAACTATCACACCAAGAGAGGTTGTCGATAGGATGTTCCTAGATTTGCCAAATGAAATTTCTATTGAAATGTTTCCCATCTTTACATCCCTGACTCACATACTGCTGATTCTGCACCTCTGTTGTTGTTTTTAAAATGCAACATTTATTGATTTTAATATAGAATATTTCTACCTCACCCGCCTTCATAAAATCAAAGCAGCTTCCAACCATTAAAGCAGTGTCTGCCCTTGGCTAGCATGTCTTCCCTCACGTGTTTGGCCCTCTAGCCTTCTCTATCTGGTCCTTGAGACACACAGGTCACCTAAACTCAGAGTGTCAAGCCAGGAGTTTATATGCAGATACTGCTTTTAATTACTGGTAGCTGTTTAGATTTTATGAAGGCTTGTGAGATATAAATATTCTATATTAAAATCAATAAATATTCTATATTAAAAACCAGAAGTTTTCCATACCTACTGTACAGGAAGAAGACTGAGGGAGAAGTGTCATCCTATCAACATCATTCTCATGGTATAACAATAGAAAATATTATTCGAGTCCTGCTTGTGTGTTTCACATAAGCAGCACTTTGTTGGCCACTGTGAGAATAGGATGCTGTTGGGCCATCGGCCTGATCCTGCAGGCTTTTCTCATGAGATATTGTTTCTTCTATTCACTTCCATGAAATGCTGACAACGCTTAATATCAGAATTTGTTCATTTTTGACCTTCTACTTTCCCAACTTCCTTTCCCTACCCAGATCATCAACTCAGTGGTTCTGCTGATTATACTGAGCGCCTTGACAGACCCTGGCCAGTACCACTTAACAACTGCTGAATTGGGGGGTGACTTGGAATTTATGGATGATGCCAGTAAGTATACGTCATTTCATTAGTAATTTACAAGCAGATCCCCATTAAATTGAACTGGTATTGTGCCAAGACAGCACTTTGAGAACCAGGTTTAGAATTTGCACAAAAAAGAAAGCCTTCTTTTTAAAAAAAAAATAATAAAAAATCTTTTGACAAATAAGCGGACATTAAAGATGAGTTTTGTGGAGAGGACTGCAACTGAAGCTGATTTATTGAAACCGGCTACCTTGTCTTTATTCTTGGAGATAACCTTGACAATGAAAGTCAGGGTAGGTTAATACAGCAGTTGAGGGAGGAGTTCTCCAGGTGCACACATTTTTTAAATGCTCTTTTAGGCTTGACACATTTTGGAACAAATCCTTCTTTGGAGACGGTCTTCGAATAACAATTTTCAATCTGTTTTGTGAACTACTGTTGCTGCTTGCAAGTGGTCACATGGAAGAAGCCATTCTAGCAGGCTGCCCTTGAGGGAACGGAAGGAAGCAGGGTCATTCCATGGGCCTTGTTCTGCCCTCCCTCCTTAGTCCTTTTTCCTTTTGCATCCTCTCCTTTAGCTTGTAAGCCTAGGAACCAACTTGCACCTTAAATTTATTTATTTTATAAAGTGTATACATTACTTGATTGTAAAAAAAAAAGCACAACAACAACCTTCAAAGCAGTTTGCAAAAAGAATAAAACAATAAAAAATGGTTAAAAAGAGAGTTAAAAACAACTATATAAAACATTCAGAAGAATTAATCAGTGATAAACAGATGAAAACCTACTTTCTGAAACCTACCCTCCATTTTTTAACCCAAATTTAATTTTAACCCCCTCCCCCCCAATCACACTTTATGTCAGCACAACTTAATAGGTTTGAGGTATGGTTTTCCTTTATCACATACATGGTCCAACAAGACAACAACAAGAATCCGCCAACAGCATACAAATCAATCTGGCAAACCTGATTAGAAACTACACACACACACACACACACACACACCCTCTCAAACACAAAATCGATTCTCACTACAGCCAACCAAAGACAACCAACCACACCCTCAGCCACCCCCAACCTTCCTCACCACCAAGGAAATACAACAAGCAAATAGTAAGACAACTAATACAAGTAACGCTGACACAAAACCCCACACATACACTAAGTAGAAGAACAGAAGCATAACCACCAGACCCCATCCCACTTACCATTCCCCCCCTCACCCTCTTTCCCCCTCTTTCCTTCCTAATTGTTTAAACCAATTCATGAACCAAGAACTCATACATTGGCCGATAATAATGAACCATATGTTTTAGATATTACTCCACATTTATTATGCTCTTTTTGCGATATACAAATGACATGAAAAAACTTGGTATACTTATTTGTATAACATTATTCCTGTTTATAAAACCCAATTAAAAGAAGAAGACGAAACAGATGAAAACACAAATCAACATTCTACATATTTGGGTAGACTTGTCTAAATAAAATTGTTTTAAGCACCCACCAAATAGAGCACAGTGAAGGAGCCTTCCTGATGTTGGCAGACCAATAAGGAGATAGTTTCTTATAGTGCAATCCCATATGTGTCTACTTGGAAGTAGATATCAATCGGACTTACTCCTAGGTAAGTTGTTATAAGATTCCACCATTAGTCTTATCACAATAGATGGTGCTTTTCCTGATGAGTTAATCAGAGCTTTTATAACTCGAGTATATTTTATTAATTGGGTAGTTTCATTTATCGAGGGACGCAGGTGGCACTGTGGGTAAAAGCCTCAGCGCCTAGGGCTTGCCAATCGAAAGGTCGGCGGTTCGAATCCCTGCGGCGGGGTGCGCTCCCGTTGTTCGGTCCCAGCACCTGCCAACCTAGCAGTTCGAAAGCACCCCCGGGTGCAAGTAGATAAATAGGGACCGCTTACAAGCGGGAAGGTAAACAGCGTTTCCGTGTGCGGCTCTGGCTCGCCAGAGCAGCGATGTCACGCTGGCCACGTGACCCGGAAGTGTCTTCGGACAGCGCTGGGCCCCAGCCTCTTGAGTGAGATGGGCGCACAACCCTAGAGTCTGGCAAGACTGGCCCGTACAGGCAGGGGTACCTTTACCTTTACCTTCATTTATCAACTTTCCCTCATTCCCCTGAATGCTCATGTTTTGGAAAGATTGATCAGCAAGACATAATATTAATGACTTAAAACTGTTTTTTTGTTTTTGTTTACACTAGTGGGGAGGTGAAAATGGAGACACCCTAAAACTGGCTTATAAAATGTCCCGTCAAAAAGAAAACTTTGAAGTACTCCTATCGAAACAGTAAAAAATAAATTAATTAAATGGTCATGGCTCTAGTACTTACTGTACTTTTGTTTTGTCATTGTTAGTAGCCAAGAACATTCTTCATATTTGTGTTCCCTTGGAAAGTATTGTGGTGATAATCATTTTTGCTTCTGGGTGCTTGGTATCCAGTACTAGTCCAATGTCAATTTATTTAATGCAGTTTGAGACATAAGGTCCCCCCCCCCGCCAAATCTGCATGTCTGCATGTACATACAGAGCTCAGAAAATAATACTGCTAAAATGCTGCTTTGGGGCTGGAATGCCTTGCTTCATTCAAGTCTTAGGCCAAACTAGAGGCCATGGTCACAGCTGCTTCAGATCATAAACTTCACAAGAAAAGAGCAGCATTCATGTTCCCCCGCAGCTCATTCCAGAGCTCACTGGCAGCTAAGTACTGTATGTGGCAAAGGACTGCTTGAGACAAAACAAATGAGGAGTGCCAAATGTTTAGGGCAAATCATAGAAGCTTACATAAAGAACAGCACTGTTGAAAGAAAAGGCAAGGACATCAGCATTCATGGCACATTACCAAAAAAGAAAAAGAAAATACACCACTACCCCCCCCCCAAAAAAAGCAAACAAGGACACAGATATCTTGAAATTGATGCACACGCCATCACAAAGCTAGACACATCCTAGACTTTTAAATCCTCCAGCAGAGGACGCTCATGTATCAGAGGAATGCTGGCACTATCAGAACTGAGGGAGAAGTGATTAGGCATGATACAACTTACACTGAGACCAAAGGCAATCCAGTTTTGTCTTGTGCCAGTTCTTTCATACTTTTTGAACGGCGGTGAGTCTTCCTTAAAAGAGGAGGAAAGGAATCTGATTCCTGCACCCTCTGATAGTGCACACGTTCTTCAGACGTGTATCTTTTGCTTCCTTCTGCTAATTACAAATCAAGTGTTGCATATTTTGTCAGCGTTTCCTTGCCACCTCACGAAAGACCTTGGGATTAGAATTAGCTGAACCATTTCACCACGTACCAAAGACTGACTGGTTGTTTCTTTCAGATATGTGCATCGCTACTGCAATTTCTCTTCTCATGATCCTCATCTGTGCAATGGCCACATACGGCGCATATAAGGTAACGCATGGCTTATGGCCCCTTATTCATTCAGTCGTAACCATCCCTGCATAAAAATTGAATACATAAAGCTGGTAGACAAAACAGCCGATAAGTTTGTGGGGAAATAACAAGCTGTCATATTTACAGTGCCTTAACTGGGCATGTGGCCAACATCATGTGAAAAAACACCTATCCCTCCGAACTCCCATGGCAGGGCCAGAAGGGTCTTCATGTTTGCAGCCATCTGCCTGTTAAGGCCTTCCACATGCTAGAAAATATGTGGAAATGTCAACACAGGGGTGCCATTTGGGGAGAAGGGGTCAGGATATGACTGACTTTTAATCTAAGTCTAATGAAATATTTATCTTTGTGATATCTCTTTGTCCTTATAGTTTGGTTCCTTTGTGAACTGCTTTGAACTCTCTGAGAAAGTAAAATAAAAGTGTGTTAGAATTTTCTAGATAACCATTAAGTTTCCTCTCTCTCTCTCTCTCTCTCTCTCTAACATACAGCAACATGCAGCCTGGATCATCCCTTTCTTCTGTTACCAAATATTTGATTTTGCACTCAACACCTTGGTCGCTATTAGCATTCTTGTGTACCCAAGCACAATTCAGGATTACCTGCAGCAACTGGTAAGTCCCTTTCCCCCATTATTCATTGCTGCCCTTGAGAAACTAAGGGCAAAGCTTTGCAGCACTGTTTGTTCCTTTGTTCTAAACAAAGCCCAAGGGAGGTTTGGATGAATCATGGTTCTTATCTGCCATAGTTTTGGCTTTTGCAAAAACTCTAATATTCACATGTGAAAATGCCCCAAAGCTTTTATGTCTGTATCTAACTAACTCAGTATCCGATTAAGTGCTTCTGCTAGTGCACGGACTTCTGCTTGTGTGGAGAACTCCCAAAACAAATCTAGGGCATGCAGACGTACATGGTGACAGAAGAGGGAGGAAAAGTTCTGTTGCACAGCCAAAATCCTTGTGCTAGCAGAAGCGCTTCATTGAATACCATCTTAAAGAACCTTATGAGGTATCATTAGAAAAGTCAGTCTGATTTGTTACATTTTACCTGCTTGAGCATAGCCCTGGGTTTCAGAGCATGTGCAGAGTTCCATGCAGAAGAGAAGTCCTGGGAGAGAACATCTTTGCCTGTATGGAAACGTCTGATCAGGAGTCCAAAATGGAGGCCAAAGCCTCAAATATTTGTGGGACTCTTGAGATCAGTAAAAACTGGTATCTGTTCTTATTGTTATTTTGCCATTGACCCAAGCAAGTGCCATTTTTGGTGTCAGTGGACCTTTGGCTGACCATGAGGTTGTTCTGCCTCCTTAAAGACTCTAAACTTGGCATTACAAAAAAATAGCACAGGTTCAGGCCTATCAAGCCATTGTTTAAAAAGAACTTGATGATGCCTGGATGTTTGTTCAAAGACACTTTTCATACTTCACAGTGGGGGTCTGAAATCCCCAAATGCTCTAGGTGGAGCTATATTAGAATACAAGAAATTGTCAAAGCAGGCCAGATTAGACCACAACTGTCTACAGCGACTAGCAATGGCTTTCCAGGGTCTCAGCAAATGTCTTTTCCATCTTTGGCTCCTGCGTTAAGCAGGGGCTTGAACTTGATAGCCTGCAAAGCCATCTTCCAGCTCTAAGATGGGAGATGCCAGGGACAGAAACTGAAATCTTACTGCTTTCAAACCACCTGCTCTACCTTTATGGTTCTTCTCCATTTGACAGCAGGGGGAAATGTATTATCACATTGTTATATTGCACATTTTTTAAAAATCGCATCATGGTATTATACATTCAAATGTATTCTGCATATAGATATGTCCATGGATCTTTACAAAATATTAATTTTACAGCAACGTTGCTTTATCCTAAAAAAATTATTTATTTTGTAAAATCTATATGCCGCTTTATTGTATACAAAAATCTTCAAAGCCATTTAAAAATACATTTTAATGCCTTGGGGTACATTTTGTGAGAACTGCATTAAAAAAACTTGGAAGTGCAAAAGTCCTAATAAAAGAATGTGAAATGTAAGGCTGTTGTGCTATGGACAGCTTCTCCCCCTCTTTAAACCATTGGCCGCTGGAAGTAGACTGACACACAGTGCAATCATGCTGCATGATGCATTATAAGGCCGATGTAATTATGAAGGGGAAGAAGGATTAAAAGAGACAGAGCGCACACTGCTCCTTGTCCCTTATATTTAGTTTTGCTCTGATCCTTAATTGCCAACCTGGTTACCATATGTGGACTTGTTTGTTTTAAACCCACAAGAATGCTGAATTAGCTCATAGCAGTCCAGAGAACAATGGAATAGACGGAAGAAGGAAAATAATGCAGTGCAGAATTTCTGTTTCTGTCCTCTCTAGAGAAATGTCTCTTGCTTCTTAATTCCCACCCCGTTCTCCACTGGCATGGGGTGCTAAATTCTAAATTATTTTGTTTATGAATTTCTTCCCATAAAATATCTAGAGTGGATTTCACAGTAAAAATATATCAACTTTAAAAATAATTTCACATGTAAAAACAATTTCAAATCAAATAGAGATATGGACTGTGATAAAGATTAATGGCTGCATGAACTGCAATAGCTTCATCAAGCATCAAATTTGAGAAACCAGAGGTCTTACTTACAGGATCTATTGGGATTCATCGTATTAAGCACCCCATTCATAGTAACAGTGAGCTTAATGATGTGATACTGGAATGCAAGCACTTACAAAACACTTCGCTCAAGATTTTATTTTTCCCTGTGGCAAGCATTCTTAAAAAGTGGAAATGGCTCCGACTCCCTCAGGGATTGGAAGAGATTCAGGTTTTTGCTGCGCTTGGATCCTGTCCATTCTCCTCTTTTGTTCATTTGTTTTTGTTTATAGTAAGTGCATGAGCTGGGTTACTTCAAAGAGAACTTTTACTAATGACAGGGTGACAATGGCAAGTCAGAGTCCTGCTTGTGCCAAGTTCTTCTTTCTTATTCTTTCCTTACAAGGCTGATGTTGATACATGTTCATTACCTAGAACATATAGGAGGTAAGACAGGGGTCAGCAACCTTTTTCAGCCATGGGCCAGTCCACCGTCCCTCAGAACACGTGGTGGGCCAGACTATATTTTTTTGGGGGGGGGATGAACAAATTCCTATGCCCCACAAATAACCCAGAGATGCATTTTAAATAAAAGGACACATTCTACTCTTGTAAAATCACGCTGATTCCCGAACCATCTGCGGGCCAGATTGAGAAGGCAATTGGGCTGCATCCGGCCCACGGGCCTTAGGTTGCCTACCCCTGCCCTAAGATTATTGGGTCAGGAATCTTGTTGTTGCAGTTTTACACTCTGAAGTACCACATACATTAGAGGAAGGGAGGTCAGGAGATGTCGTGATGGCACGTGGGCTGCCTGGCAAGCAAGTAAGCAGGTGGAAGCCAGGAGGAGGGCATGGAGCTCCAACCCTGGCACCTGCCCATAAAAAAGCAGAACTTATCTCCCTCAACTATCACCTGGCAGCAGCCATTCCATCGGGCTATCTCAGTTGGATCATTAGTGATTGGATAGCCACCTGTCATGGATGCTTAGTTGATATTCCTGCATTTCAGGGGGTTGGACTAGATGACCCTCAGGTCCCTTCCACCTCTATGATTCTATGGTTCTGTAAGTTTTGCCAAAAGGACAGCTCCCTCAAATGCTTCCTGCCTCTGAACTGTTTCTATGCCAGGGGCTCATTATGCACCACACTACTTAAGAACTGGCACCTGAGTTTGTTTTCTTCCTCTTCCTTCCCTGGCCCTTTCACGTATGTGCCGTGTTTTTAGATTATAAACCTGTGGGCAGGGAATGTCTTGTTTTAATTGGCTCTGGTAGCTTTTTTGGTGGAAAAGCGGGACACAAATACTCTAATTGTGGGGTCCTTACAGTTCTGTCAGTGGTGGTTAAGAGCAGTGGACTCGTAATCTGGTGAACCTGGTTTGATTCCCCGCTCCTCCACAAGCAGCTGCTGGGTGACCTTGGGCCAGTCACACTTCTCTGAAGTCTCTCAGTCTCACTCACCTCACAGAGTGTGTGTTGTGGGGGAGGAAGGGGAAAGGAGATTGTGAGCCGCTTTGAGACTCCTTCGGGTAGTGATAAAGTGGGATATCAAATCCAAACTCTTCTTCTTCTTCTTCTTGCTTCTGGGTACCACCATGGGGTCTTTGACATGAGCCCCATCTGCACAGTGGTTTTCCAAGTGGATCTCCCTGTTGATCACTACAACTACGGTAGTGATCACTCATCAATTTGCCCAATGGCTGTCATCTGAAGCCACGTACTTCTCCCTGCAGCCAGGTGTAAACAAAACTCCACGCATGGTCCAACTTTCAGTTGGGTTTGTTTTCCCAGCTTCAAAACAAGGCGGTGCTTTTATGTAACCTAGCTGAAGAAATTCCACATTTAGTTATACAGCACTGCCAGTAAGTGGTTTCATCAGTAAATATTTCTTCATGTGTTTAACATGTGGACCTGCCACACATCTGGACTGCCCAAATATTCAGCAGCAAATCATTTGTCCATTCATCTGCAGTATAGATTAAGACTTTACTGTTTTTCTCGTCCCAGTCATATATTTTAGCACAATCTTGATGTTCAATTGCTTCATCTTTTTGTATTCTTACTTTGGGGCAAGTGCCGCTTTGTATACGGACAGCATAAACACACACAAATTCCTACTACAGAGTCATCAACAGGCTCATCACAGCTATCTGCCAATCACCCATTCCCACCACCCTTCTGAGTAATACCCCTCCCCACCTTCTCACTATATAGAAGGATCTGGCAACTTCTGTTTCAGAGTATCTGAAGAAGTGTGCATGCACACGAAAGCTCATACCAAGAACTAACTTAGTTGGTCTTTAAGGTGCTACTGGGAAGAAAAAAAATTGTTTTGACAAATTCCTACATAAATGTTGCCAAATCTTGGCAGTAACTTCCTAGTGAACTATGTGGATTAAAGAAGCCCTGCTGACCCACTAAGGATACCCCCCAAAAAGATTTACCATTGACCCAACTACATTTTGTAAGAATCTTTGTGCTGTGATCTTACTGTGCAGTCAAAGGTTAATCCACTTTTTACCAGTATTACTCCACATGGTTTTACTATTTTTGCGATTCAAATAACACCCTTCAACATTTGTGTGTGAAATGCATTATCCTTTACCTGCTTCTAAGTTGGCAAAGTGATGGTGCCAGTTAAACAGGAGCTTAGTTGCAACTTGTTTTGCTTTCCTCAATGACCTTAGGTGGTCCTTATCCACTTAGTCCCTTCTTTTTAACCCACATTCTGGAAACAAGGTGTAGATGTGAGTAATTTGGGAGGGGAATAATCTTTTTCCATAGGTCTGGATGGGGAGCCCTTGGACTCAGCTACATTGGCAAAGAAAAAGTGCTTTATATGCATTCTTTATGCATTCTGACACTGTGACACCAGATGGCGCTGTGGAGTTCCATTTTTTGCCAACCCGATTTCTCATACAACGTTTGCAACGTGTTAAACTGAAATGCTTCTTTGATATGTGTAGATCCAGCCCTTGTTAACAGTCCTGTGCGGCACCTTTGAAGATCAACCAATTCAGGCTGCAGTCTTGAACACACTTATTAGGGAACAGTCCTCGTGGAATTCAGTGGTCTTATTTCTGAGTAATGTATAGTTATTGTGGCATTAGCCCTCATTGGGGTGGTGGGGACCCATTCTGATACTGTGCTTGTGCATCTTTCAACCTTAGCATGGGAGGTGGCAGACTTCATCTTTGCACATCCTTAACTCAGGCTGCCCCAGTATAGTCACATCCATTGTCTTAGTAAAAATAGAGTATGTTAAACAGATGAAAAGGTTGCTTAGGGTGTGACAGGCAAGTGACATTATGTTTTGGTGTGTAAGGTTTTCGGATAATTTTCCTTCTGCAGAGGCAAAGCCAGAAACGATCAAAATACTAGATCAGAACAAGAATAAGATGTATTTGGTTTTTTAAAGAAAGAAGCCGAGAGCAGAGTTGTGTAACATTTATCTCCAATCTGTTACACGCCATCTGGTGAGATGAAACCATTGGAACACTTCAATTAAATTCAAGAAGAAGAAAACTTCTTGCCAGCAGCTGGCAAAAAAAGAAAGAAATCAATGCAAACAGGAGTATATATTTGTCTTGATTCAGTCTGAATGTATTTGGCAATAATACCAAAGACTTAACAATAGCTTCAGAAACTCTGGGGAAAAGTTCTTCCATGTCCCCAACCCCTAGCCCCAGACATTATTTCAAGGCACAGGGAAAACATTAGGCCCCACAGGAAGGCCCCACTGGTGCCCTCGCAGCTGCCCAAGAATGCCATGTGTTGACAACAGGCTACCAATAAATAAATAACGGCCTTATATTGTCATGTAAAGTATTCTATAACGAGAGAGGTGCACGGTTATTATTACTAATTTTTCTTCTTCTTTATTGCAGCCTGGTAATTTTCCCTACAAGGAAGATATTATGTCTGTCAATCCCACATGTCTCATTGTGATTATTCTGCTTTTTATAAGTATCACCTTGGCTTTTAAGGTAAGCATGTATCTATAGAAACAAAGTTGTTGGAATGCATGATCATTCATCTCCCTGTGCAGCAGTAGTTGTGAACCCTGGAAGACTGAAAAAAGCAGGGGTCACAGAGACAGTGACTTAGAAAACACCATGGTTACCAGAGGGGCTGGCTCAAGAAGGAGAGAACCTCACATTTCCTGAGAACTGAAGTTGGCAGTGGGTCTTCCTTTTGGGTCTTTTCTCCCTGCACTTTCATGAAAAATTCTTTTGAAGCATCCCTGAGCTTCAGGGGTAGCTATGCAGATGATTACAGAGTTGAGATGTTCTATGGCAGTGGTGGGGGACCTTTTAGACTCCCAACTCTCATCAGCCCCAGGCAGCAACGACAACAGTCAGGGATGATGGGAGTCCGGCAACATCTGGAGGACCACAGTTTCCCTATCCCTGTTCTAAAATTCCATGCCTATGCAGAAGTTCCCATGCTGCTTTTTGGGTTGGACCCATGAAATAGCCGTTCCAAGCAAAGCATTGTAGAGGAATCTTCAGGAAGCAGAAGAGCATGTTCTCATTTTGAAATATGACCCATGACTACCTGCAGTGAGCATGCGCCAGGGCCAAATGGTTGCCTTTTGTCTAAATCTTGATTGACTGCTCTAGCGAGAGTCTGATAAGCAGCAAGCAAGAGTGGGAGAAGCCGCTGTTCCTTAGCCCCACATTCCCAGTGGTTGTTGTAGAAATATAATGGTTAAATGTGTAGTTGCCCTGTGGATTTGCTAGAATGAGCCACCAGCTGTGATGCACAAGTTAGCTAAGCTTGTCCTGTATGGTTGGATTTTCGGTCCCATTTACTTCAAGAACATTAACTGGCTTAAATAAAAGTTTTCTGTCATAACAGGTTTTGCTGTTCAGGCTGAAAGTAGGTCAAGATTATCTCATTTATTGGACTATCCTTTTGTTACTTGGAGATGGAAAACCCTTCAACGGGCAAAAATAGAGAAAGCAAGGCCAAGTCTGTTATTTTTTTAATTGGGAAGGTGGACATTAGCCTATATGTCCATTATAATGGCTGTATCATTTTTTGTTTCTTTGACTTGCTAAGTGAGAGGTACAAACTTGATGCATAAGTTCAATCAGCTTCTGGTATTCTCATTTGCATTCCTTGTGTTTTGCATAAACCATAAATGTGCTCTGCAGATTTATGGAATCTGTATAATGAAATGAAATCCATAATCAAGTGCAGCATGTCCTCCACCGCTGATAGATATAGCAGATAGCAACATTTCCAGGAAACGAAATGAAACGGTACTGCATTTCAATATTTCTGAGTTCATTCCCTTTCCTAATAACAGCACCTGTCAAGTAGCAGAGGCAGTCTGACATAATCATTCGGGATAGAAGCAAAGGACAGGTATCTTGAAAATAGACAGAATGGCAGAAGTATAGGCCCCAATTTATTTCTGCTGGAAAGTTATTCAGCTTTTTAATTTCAAAGAGAGTTGAAGGCAATTTGAAAGCAGCTTCCCTTCTCACTGTGAAAACCGCATCGTTTCCCCAACAGGTTTTGCAGGGTTGGATTTTTAAAAACTACCTTCCAACTATGTTAACCAGAGGCAAAAGTGGTATGATTGTTTACACCACAAGCAATGACCCGCTCTTTCAAATCACCCAGTGTTCTGTAAAATATTATCTGTATCTAGACATAATTGGAGCAGCTAAATGTTGCCTGTAGTTCTTCAAACACATCTTCTATCACAATCCCCAAAAGCATCCTAAAATAAAACCTTTTATTTATTTTTTCTAGAACATATGTTCTTAATTTTTTTATATACCTTTTTCTTGTACTGTCAGACTGGAATGGATCATCTGGAGCCAGAACACTCAACTTTATAAATGGAGCAAGATAATATTTTCAAACAAAATGGAATGGAATTTTACTTCTATCCTGAAACACTGCAAAGACAATGCAAAGTAAATAATTTTCGCCGTGGCCTTGATCAGCCCCATTCTGCTTTGCATCTAGACCATTCTCTTGCCTTCCATTTTGTTTGAATTTTTGGTGGTTATCTCCCATTTCTTATTATGACTTTGCATTCCGTGTATATCTGAATTATCACTGAGTTTGCCTTTAGCTTACGTCAGCTGTCACCAATGGTTTGAAGGCCTGTGGGCAGATTTGAATGCTTTAGCAAATGCCATGGCTTTAATCTTTCCCGCACCCAATGGATCAGCACGCTTCCCTGAGAGACAGAAAGAGAGAAGACATGTGTGCACACACTTCACTTTTACAAGCAATCTGGATAAAAATCTGTTCAAATAAGAATTAGTCTGAGCCTTGAAAAGCACGTAGAGCTGAAAGAGGAAGTCACTCTTCCAACTTCCTTCATCTCTATGTACTTTCCCAGTGCTATTTTTCTAGAAAGAGAGGTGCTGGAACTCACCAAGAACATCTCCCTTGTTTCTCTTATAATGGCAATGGTGCCCACCCGAGAGGTGCCGGAACTGAGTTCCAGTGAGTTCCAGCTGGGGGGAAAAGCCCTGTACGTTTTCTCAAAGGAGAAAAACGTAACCTCCCACACAATCTCATTAGGTCACAGGTTGAGACCTCAAGGGTACCACCAGGTGATGGTGATTCCTGACCTAAGTCCGGGGATGACATTTTAGTTTCCAATAACAGAATGACTGAATCTTCCCTTTATTTTAAATCCTGGTGCAACTCTCATTACCGCACAGTGAAAATGCTACATTTTCAGGGCATTAATGATGAGATAGTCTATGGATACATTTAATGTCTCTTTAATACGGTAGTGTAGGAAAGTATTAATCTGTAGCTAGAGGACTGTGTTCAGTTTGGTCAGTCAAAAATTAAACAAGCTTTGGAAACCCTTGCCAGAATGCATGACTCCTCAGACCTAGAAGATGACAAGTGCTCTGGCTAGCTTCTTTTTAATAGTCTCTGCCAACAAATATTTCCAACTTTGGTAGACCAACAAGTTCCATGACTGAGATGTTCTTTGTAGGAAGTTCTAAGTATTTTTTATTCAGTATATATTTTTTTCCTTTGCCCCATCCTTTTCTTTTAGGGTAGACAACAAGCATTTTCCTTTCTGTTTATACACAATATTTCAGATCTTTGAAGACTTGTTGGCTTTTTCCTCCGTCCTGCCACTGTTATCTTCTCTCCAGTATAAACAATTGCTTTTATTTACTTACACAATTTAAATCCCAAACTCAAAAATTATGATTGCTCTTCTACAATATACTTTTGGACCTGAAAATTTGCCCAGCTAGAGGAAAATAATATTATTTTTGAGTTTTGGCTATGCATCTGCTAAATGCACTCTGGAATAGGATTATATTTCTTTGTAACCATATTGTATTGCTGACCCAGTACCATTTGCGGGGAAAGTATAAGCCTCAACTCATTTTCTCAGCAATGCTATTTTTAAGCCACTTACCCCTTTCCCTCTTATACTTGCTTGTATGAATTTTCGTTCCTCCCAATCCCACCCAATATTTCTCCTCTGTCAGCAAATTTCACAAGGCCTGCATATTGAAAATTTGTTTTAAATTAGTAAAAGTTCTGCCAGGCTGGGGAAGATTCACACGTGCCCTTCAGGGAGAAAAAAGGGCAAGGAGCAGCTATTCTGTTTGAAGTGCATGTCTGTCTTACTTTTATTAAAGATTCATTTTCAATTTGCCATTGTTTATGAGCCAACAAATGAAGCCCACTCTGTGTTAGTAGCCCTTTAAAGTCTTGTAAAAACCAAACCACTGGATCCTATTAATCTTTGGCAGGCAGCAGAGCACAGCTTTGTGGTTTCCTGTACATAGAGAGTGTTTTATGTTTGGCCATCTCTACTTTCTTCTGCTGTATCCTTTTTTTGGAAAGGGGGGGGGGAGACTTTTACCACATTGCATTTGCTTAAACCAAGATGAAATTGCCCCCCCCCCCCCCACTCTGCATTTACTCTCAAAAACACAGAAGCATTTGAAACAAAGTATGACCAATTAATTTTTTTATACTCATCATGGTATATAAGGCTACGGTCATTTTACAACTGGGAAAAGGAGGGTGCTACTAAAATTGAACTAAATAATAGGGAGTTAAATTATGCAGCTCTTTAACTATATTCCAGGGTTTTTGCCTTACTTCCTTAGAAGAGAGTGTACAAGTTCTGTTTAAAATGCAATGTATAGACAGTGAAGGCATGCTCTATTCATTTATTTAAAATATTAAAAGGGCCCAAGGACGTGATGATGTTGAAATTTCATGGTCTTAATTTATGTAGCACTAATAGGTTCATTTGCGCTTCGAGACCCCCAAGCACCCCAAAAAAATGAGACACAGTGACACAGGATTTTAGTTTACATTACTGGGCAAAATTTAGGCCACAACTTTATTGAATACAAAATGTGAGTGGTATTGGCTTAGGCATTGGAATCACCAGACTATATTGGATTCCCAACCGCTTTCACGGTGAATCTGATAACAAGAGTGAAAGACCGCCAGCAGGAGAGAGCACCACCCTTGTGGGCGGGCTTGAGCTCCCCTCGGTGCCCCCGTGGGGTCCTGGTATGGCCCTAGGCCCACCGCTAGGACAAGACCCAGGCCAACCCCTGATTCCTTTAATTCAGCGGTTCTCAACCTGTGGGTCCCCAGATGTTGTTGGACTTCAACTCCCATCTTCCTTGGCCACTGGTCATGCTGGCTAGGAATGCTGGGAGTTGTAGTCCAACAACATCTGGGGACCCACAGGTTGAGAAACACTGTGTTTAACGGAATACCCTTGAGCTTGGAGGGGTAGGTGATGGCTGCCACCTCCCCTCCCCACCATTGCTGATCCAATGCCTAACCGCCAAACCTTACAAAGTTGTGACGATTGCTACGGTGGTAGGCAAAAACCAAATGGTCCTGCCAATTTGCTAGATGGAAAATTTCCTACCAGGCCCCCATTACAAAACAGGCGACCAATGAAGACCATAGCAAGGCCAGGCAAACCTAAATAAAGGGAAGGCGGGCGGGGGATCTGCTGCGCGAAGCCAAAGAGGACCAGCAAACGACGCACAGGGTTATATATTGTTCCCCAGCTGCCCCCCCAAGCCAAGCGATTGGCTTTAGGGCCCAAGCAACTGGGGAACGACCAACCGGAGTGGAGTAGGGCATGGCCCTGCCCACCCCAGCAGGTGGGGTGTGCTCTAAGGGCCCAAGTGCAACACAATCCCTCTTTGATGAGGAATCAATTTCACACATTATACAGATAGCCGGTTCCGAGGTAGCACTAAATGATATCTTCGTATTACATGAATAAACTTCAGTAAGCCTCATATTTGTACACCTCCCACTCCTTCTCAGGCGGGCAGAAGAGAAAGTGATCCAAATCTGTTGCTTTCCGTTTTAAACTAACCAGAGTTCCCCATTATATCCGAACATTACATCCACAGAGAACTTTGGTAAATTTAGACCAAGGCTACTTCATTTAAACCAAGCCAGAATCAAACCATGATTTATAAACCTGGCTTGATCACTAACCATGGTTCATAAACTAACTGGAGTTTCCCAACTTCCCACAGAATCTAGCTGGCTTGAAATCAGAAGCAGATGCTTTTCTCTTTTTTTGTCTGGCTCATGCCAGAGGGAACTGGAAACCCAAGGCTTGCCATGGTTTGTGCCCATAATGCTAAACCATAGTTTAGCATCACATCTGAACTGGCTCCGTATATATTATCTGAGTTTGCCGCAAGGAGTACATTCAACAGGGAGGTGTAAGATACACATGCTTTCCAACAAATTCATACTTTAGGTGTACACTTCAGTGGGTATATATGCATGGCTGCTTCTAGTTTCCCATGAATAAATGAAAGTAATTCCAAAAGATAGCAGGTTCTGACTCCAAATAATAGTATTTCAGGCTGTTAAGGGGACAATGGTTCCTCCTGACGCTTTGCACCTTCTTATGTTGAAAATGCTTCTAAGTAGAAAAAGAAAAAAGACTCTGTGTCTAGATCTACATCTTTTTACTTTATGTTTCCGGGCACAATTCAAAGTGTTGGTGCTTCCCTTTAAAGCCCTAAATGCCCTGGGCCCAGCCCAGACACTGTGGTCCAGCTCCAAGGGCCTTCTGGTGGTTCCCTCCCTGCGAGAAGCGAAGTCACAGGGAACCAGACAGAGGGCCTTCTCGGTAGTGGCGCCTGCCCTGTGGAATGCCCTCCCACCAGATGTCAAAGAATCCTGTTTAGGGAAGTTTTTAATGTTTGATCTTTTACTGTGTTTTTAATATCCTGTTGGAAGCCACCCAGAGTGGCTAGGGAAACCCGGCCAGATGGGTGGGGTATAAATAATAAGTTAGTAGTAGTAGTAGTAGTAGTGTTTTATTATATTCCATGCTGTTTGGTCTGTGTCTGTTTGTTTCTTTATACTGATTTTATTGTTTATGGCTTTTAACTTTGCCGTCTTTAACTTACCGTCATAGGGATTGAAGTGCAGAGTATTAAATATTAAAATAAAATGAATGAAAATATAAAGTACATAATTGCTGCATGCATGTGTGCATTGCTGCATGTGGAATAAGCATACATAGCAATTAATTGCAATTGAGTTCTTCTAAGGCTTCCTTCCCTTAAGCAACATCTGTCGTTCTGAGCATGAGTGGCAAACATTTGGCACCAACCTCTGTGGTTTTTATCCCTGCTCATCCATGAATAAACTCACTTTGTGACCCTCAGGCAAATTGCTGACTCTCAGCTTTAATTCGTGGCGTGCAAAAATAATTGGCTGCTTTTATATTTCACAGTGTTCTAAGGAGGCTGAGTGATCTAGATTGTAGAACACTTTGTACTTTAGAAGGCTAATATTCAGTCTTTAATAATGCTTTTCTATAGTGCTTTCATAAGAACATAACCCCACAATGTTGTAAATGATCCATATGGGGGCGTTTGACACTTTTCTCCATCTCATTCTGGTTGCCCTTCTCTGAACCTTAGCTCTACAGTATCCTTTTTTTGAAGAACTCTACACAGAACTCTACACAGGATTCTAAGTGTGTTCTTACCATAGATCTGTATAACTGCAAGTGAAAATTCACTCCCTTATTTTTGGATAGGAAAGGTATGCGCTGCAAAATAGGTCAGTGACTCAGCCTAATGGTTTTTCAGTAGAATAAAAGGCTTTTCGGGACAAATCAGCAGGAAATTTGCTGGGGCAAGATGAGTTTCCATTGCAAGGGCTCGGCATATGCCTGTTTGTGTCCAAGACATTTGGCTAGCATACTGGTTTTAGCTGCTCATCTTCCCAAGCACGCGTAGGTGGTGTCTCTGGCTTCCATTTGCCTGTTGTGGGCGAGATGGTGACCTCCTTGGTTAGGAAAACTTTGTTTGCTTGGTTTATACGGAACTACTACGAAGTAACAACATGCTTTGGGGGCTTAGCTGCAAGCACCGGTAGGTGGAACAATAGTGACTCCAGCAGCAAAGGTTTAAAAATGTTTGCAGAACAGCGAGAAGCCTAGGTTGCTGCGATTTTAATATAACAGTTGTAATTTTGTTCTAATACATTGGCTCGGGAGCAACTTAAGCTTAGCATTCCTGCATTTTTTTGGTTATGGCCTACATCTGGACTTCCTTGAGGAAAAGGTAAAGAGATATGGATTTGGACTCTCTGAACTCTGCATTTTCTGGTTTTGTAACATTTATAAGATCCATCTAGCCTTTGCCTTTGAGAGCTTGGCTTAAACAGAGCAATCCTATGTGTGTCTTTGTCTACTCAAAAGTAAGCCTCACTTAGTTCAATGGGACTTACATAGAAGCAAGTGTGTATAGGATTAGAGCCAAAATCTAGGGTTGTGCAAGATTGGTTTGAACTCTGATTGGGTGCTTCAGAAAACAGATTGCCTCAGTCGGACTCCGTTCAGGCCTGCTTCATGTTGAACCCCCAACCCCATTCACTGCAGGGAAATTTTCTAAAAAACATAGCTCTAACTTTTTCTTTTCATGGAAGTGGGTAAAATTTGCAGGCAAATTTTCTAGGGTGGATGAAGCCTGCCAAATTGTAGGCAAAATAAGTCCAGAGGATTTTGTGCTGGGCACCTTGTTTGGGGAGGAATAGCTAAAAGGGATTTGCTTTCCAGGTAAAATCTTCCATATAGATGACAAGCCGCCCTGTCATAATGGAGCTCTGTCCGGTCTTGTGCTTGTTGTTCCTTCCCCCATCACCCACTCCCTAGTATGTTTAGAGACGTGACTTTTGCTTTAATGAGATGCTTGTCTGCAGCATTTTTTGGCATCAGGAGAGCTGAGGTGCAGCGAAGTATTTCAGGAGTCCCTGCTTTGAGTTGCACTGCTTCATAGAGATTCCCCTTCATCTCTCAGAGGCCAAAAAATCCCTCTGAGGCATCGTACTTCACTTGGGAATTCTCCAGATATCACATCCATACCAACATCTGTTAAGTCTTTTAAAGCAGCCATGCAAATAAGTCTATACAGGTGGAATAAATCCACATAAATTTTTAGAAGCCTCCCCGTTGACATCTTCAAAAAAAGGACATACTACAGCATTTTTCTCCTGTTGAGGAAGCCTTGCCTTCACAATTCATTTGCCAAACATGCCTGTCAATGATTTGAACACCAGTGCATTGTACCCCGAGGGAAGGGGCACATCGAAAGAGTCATGCTCCATGACATCCATGGGCTACCAAGGGGTAAAATAATAATAATCCACTAATAGAAACTCGAGGACTCTTCCAGCCTGCAGTCAATTCGGACTCTCCATAGGTGACTCAGCTTTATGGTATCAAAATGCTCACCTGTTTTGGTTTTTTGCTACAACAAGTTAGTGTAATTGTTGTTGTTGCTGTTGTTGTTGCTGTTTATTCCCTGCCCATCTGGCTGGGTTTCTCCAGTCACTCTGAGCAGCTCCCAACAAAAGATTAAAAATACATTAAAACATCAATCATTAAAAACTTCCCTAAACAGGGCTGCATTCAGATTTCTTCTAAACGTCAAATAGTTGTTTTTTTCTTTGACATCTGGTGGGAGGGTGTTCCACAGGGCGGGCGCCACTACCGAGAAGGCCCTCTGCCTGGTTCTCTATGACTTCGCTTCTCGCAGTGAGGGAACTGCCAGAAGGAGACACTGCTTCAGGTATACTGGGCCGAGGCCATTTAGGGCTTTAACGGTCAGCACCAACACTTTGAATTGTGCTTGGAAACGTTTGGACAGACTACAAAAAATAAATCAACTTCTTAATCATCACGTAGCATGTTTCAGTGAAGAGTGTGTGGTAAAGAAAATCTGTTACAAATTCAGCAAATCTTCTTTCTCTGCCTCTACTTCCTCACACAGGCTTACCTGATCAGCTGTGTATGGAACTGTTATCGATACATTAACAACAGAAACAACTCAGATGTCCTGGTCTACATTACTACTAATGACACAGCGGTAAGGATGTCAAAATTAAATGGGGCTCTGACAGCCTTTGGGTGTGGAATGTAGGCATGAAACCACTTTCTTGTCTAGCCCGTTGTTGTTCCTGTTGACTTCTGTTTCCAGTTACTTTGGGGGAGCCCCCATTTCTGATGCATTCTGGATGATGGTAGCACCTAGTACAGGTACTGTAATATCCTCCGGACCAATGCCCCATCAGTGCATTGCTGTGGAGAAAGCAATGTCTTGCTTAGCCACATTGTAAACTACTGCTTTCCAGAGCTGATTCACACAAACAGGATAGGCAAGCGTGGTTCCCTCTTGTGCAAATTGCAGCTGAGTAATGAAGGGCGGGTGGCGCTGTGGGTAAAAGCCTCAGCGCCTAGGGCTTGCCGATCGAAAGGTCGGCGGTTCGAATCCCCGCGGCGGGGTGCGCTCCCGTTGCTCGGTCCCAGCGCCTGCCAACCTAGCAGTTCGAAAGCACCCCTGGGTGCAAGTAGATAAATAGGGACCGCTTACTAGCGGGAAGGTAAACGGCGTTTCCGTGTGCTGCGCTGGCTCGCCAGATGCAGCTTTGTCACGCTGGCCATGTGACCCGGAAGTGTCTCCGGACAGCGCTGGCCCCCGGCCACTTGAGTGAGATGGGCGCACAACCCCAGAGTCTGTCAAGACTGGCCTGTACGGGCAGGGGTACCTTTACCTTTTTAATGAAGGGCTGTCAACCAAATCAGTCTTTCTGCAAAAGAGATTAGAGTAATTCATCAACTGTGGTTAAATGGAGCCTCCTCTCATGGCTCAGAGGCAATATGCTTACTTCGGAACACCATTTGCTGGGGCATGTGAGGGTTCATCAGGTTCAGTCACAATAGGAAGCAATGGTTAAATTAACCCTGGAGGTGTTGTATTGCAGCATGATAAAAAGGGAGAGGGCAGCGTGAGAACCAAATGCACAGGCACAAAACTGATGCATAACTCCACCTAGTGAAACCATAGTACACCCAAGGGATGTTCAGTTTGCAGCCTTTTACAACCACCAGGCACAGACTTGTGTCTGTGCTATCCATGTTGTTTTGTGGAAAACAAGACAACTTTCAAACAGTTCTTGATTCTCTGCCTGCTCCTCCTGCTCCAAGTCCTCTTCCCTCCTTAAACATTCTGTGGTCCCTGGAATCTAGGAAGCCCTGGGGGGAGAGAATGTGTCCCAGTGACAAGTCCCTACCCCAAACATTGATGCATCCTATTCCGGAACATTTTAATGTCATTTCAGCAGTAGAGCTGCTTTGTTATGACTAGGACCTCTGATGGTCCACACCAATGTGTTGGAAGAATCTAAGGTTCTTCCCCACAATCTCTGCTGCAGATGAGGAGCTACCAGCCATTTTCTTGGATGTATTATCTTAATGAATCCCAGATGATCTCGCTACAGCACAGTATATATTTTATGAAACTGTATCTGCTAAACGTGTGCTGTTTGCCTAAAGAGGGAGCCCTTTTATTTTCCTAAAAATAATAGAGGACTTCTGTAATTGGGCAGCCATATACCCGTGCACATGGAAAATGTACAAATGTGCGCTTAAGAATGTTTTGGCAGCGCAGCGAATTTGAGGTTATAAATTATCTCAGGGCAGTCCAGCTTCCATCTGTAATCACTCCAGGGTGGTTTCTAATGGAAATGCTCATAGATAAACATTTAGGTTGCTTCCTGCCCAGGCGAAGAGGGAGGCACTCTGGAGTCTACTTCTTGACAGATGATAATGCATTAAGGAAAGCTTAAACAAGTGGCACATGGCCTGTGTGCTTCAGACAGAATCTCCAAACCATGTTTGGGTTTGTAAAAACCAGAGCAGCGTGCTTGTACAGTATTCTAAGGACAACAATGTTAATGCAAGACATGGTTCTCCCCAAGTTGCAGAACAAAGAATACAAGGTATGGAGTCCTTCTCAGAGTAGTGGCAGGTTCACGGGTCCACTGTGGGGGCTAGTGCCTGCCATCGCCAATGATCACAAGCAGTTCTGGGGGCAGAACTTGACATGGGACCCTGCACTTGCTTCTGAAGTTTTTGTTATTTTTCTACTGGGATGATTTTATTCACACTTATTAATCACTTTTATTTGCAAGACATAACCCAAATTATTATGTACAAAATAGTACAAAGTTTGAAGCTGATAAAAAACCGAAATAGAATAAAAACCTAAAAACACATTTGTACATCTAAAAGACAGGTCTAACGCATTCTACCCACTGAAAGAGGCCACAGATATATAGAACCCTCCAAAGCAGCCTTTCTGAACCTGTGGGTCCCCAGATGTTGTTGAACTACAACTCCCATCACCCCTAGCTAGCAAGGCCAGAGCTCAGGGATGATGGGAGTTGTAGTCCAACAACATCTGGGGACCCACAGGTTGAGAACTGCTGCTCTAAAGTAAGGGCCAGAGCCCTAGGTAAAGAAAGAAAGAAATGTTTGCCTGGTGCCTAAAAGTAGATAGCGATGTTGCCAGCCATACCTCCCTGAGGAGAGCATTCCTTAAGCAAGGAGCCACCACTGAAAAGGCCGGTTCTCATGTCGCCATTCACCACACCTCCCTTGGAAGGGGCACATGAAGAAGGGCTTTGGATGCTGAAAGCAGGATCCAGATTGGTTCACATGGAGAGAGGTGGTCTCATTGGGGTCCTGAGCCACACAAGGCTTTATAGGTCAAAACCAGCACTTTAAAATGGGTTCGTGATAAATGGAATGGTTTCATTGAAATGTATTTTTAATGTTTTGCCTTTTGGGGTTTTAATCTTTTTTTGTAAGCTACCAAGAGGCTGTTTTGTAATAACTCACTAATATGTCAAATAATAAAAATGACAAATGGAAGGGGGCATGCTTGCCTTTTTCCATACTCGTTCCCCCCCCCCCATTCCACTTGCATTTGATTTGACTGAACAGGCAGAGCCTCATAGCTCCCTATGCATGATGCAGCAGCCCCATCAATCTGCCCTAATCTGTTGGTGTCCCTGGGTGGTCTTTTAATATGTTTGCGTAGCCGCAGATACATCACCACAATAGGGCTTGCGGGGGGGCGGACCTAAAGTGAAGCAGGTGGTCAGTTTAATGACCTGGCCTCTCATGTTTCTCCTAAGCTCTTGACTATTTGCTCCATTACAATGCTTGGCTGAAGGAAACAAAGGTTTGTTGCTGCTGCTGCTGCTGCTAGCTCTTCACAGCTGCGCTGGTGTGGAAGGAATGTCTCCTGAGACAAAACAACAAGAGGACTGAGAAGCAAATGTCTGATTTATTTATTTTTTTAAAGTGCAGTTTTGTTTAAACCCAATATGTCTGCAACATGTTGTGTGTGTGCTGCTCTCTCCTTGTGGAATTTAAAGTTTGAAGTTGCTAATCTTTAGAGGTGTTGAGCACAAGTCCAGCCTTAGTAGTACTGATTCTGGAATTACTCCATCAGCCACCTTGAACGAAGGTGTGGCAGAAGGAAAAACACTTAACACTTGGGGATGTTCCAGCCTGATGCTGTAGATCAGATTTTGGTTCCGTGTCAGAAATGTTTACAGTGCATCAGCTCAAATCCACAACTGCACTTGGCCTCTGACGCCTCTTCCTTATACTTCTGTTTTCATTATCTTGCTCTTTTCCTTGCCTCCTCGCCTCCCTAGCTATGAGGAGCGAGGATTCAGCAGCAGACTCTGGTCCGTACTGGGTGCCATTTCCAGGCCATTTGTGTACTGCCTGGGTTCTAGCCAACAACAGATGGCAGCTTACACAAGCAATATTTCCATTTCCCTGCCCCCTGCAGCCCTCAGAAAGCTTGGAGCAACCTACTGAACGTAGTTGGATATGTTTTACAGGACTGCTGAGCGGGAGGGTTAGAAACTGCCTGACATTGACAACCTTGTGTGAGTAGTGTAAGATTGGTTACCCGATTCCCTGTCCAGCCAAATTATAGGGTTTGCTAGGGAGAAAAACTGGGGCAGTACCATGTACCAGTCCCTCAGCCCCTTGAAGGAACAAAAATGGGATAAAATGTATTTATTTATATTACGTTTATATACCACCTTTTTTCTTCCGAGGATCTCAAGGTGGTATACATGGCTCTCCTCCTCCCCATTTCAAACTCACAACAACCCCGTGGTGTAGGTGATATAAGAACTTCAAACATTAAAAACTTCCCTAAACAGGGCTGCCCTCAGATGTCTTCTAAACGTTAGATACTTGTTTATTTCTTTGACATCTGATGGGAGGGCGTTCCACAGGGCGGGCGCCACTACCGAGAAGGCCCTCTGCCGGGTTCCCTGTAAGCTCACTTCTCACAATGAGGGAACCGCCAGAAGGCCCTCGGCGCAGGATCTCAGTGTCCGGGCTGAACGATGGGGGTGGAGACACTCCTTCAGGTATACAGGACTGAGGCCATTGAGGGCTTTAAAGATCAGCACCAGCACTTTGAATTTTGCTCGGAAACCTACTGAGGCTGAGAGGCAGAAAACTTGGTAATGGATTCACATGAGTCCTTGTGGATTTTTACATTTTCAAAACTGATCCTTTCCTTTTTGCTGCAGGTGTTGCTGCCACCCTATGATGATCCTGCAAATGGCGCTGCCAAAGACCCACCACCACCTTATGTTTCTGCATGAGGAGCCGTGTGTGCGAGCGAGTGTGTGTGCGTGAAATGTACCTAAAGAACAAATAGCTTTACTTTTCACGACACCTGAGCAATAGATTCTTTCATTTTTCAGGACAGGTGTATTATCTCCCAGGTTGTCTTTATTGCTATTTTGCTGTAGATTATTCAAAAGAAAAACCTATTTGCCTAAAGCAGCATTGAACTGGCTTGAGAACCATTTTGATTAGCTAAAGTGATAATTGTTGCAATGTAGGTTTGTTTTGGGGGTTTTTTTCACATCTTCTCCTGCAAATCTAGAAAATCTCTAGGGGTGTAAACTGTAGTGTGGAGTTTTCTTTCTCTTGTCTTCTTAATTTCTGGATCATGCCTCAGGCTGTGACATTGTCCTTTAATCCACAATCATAAAACAAAACAGAAGGTACCCTGAACAGTTGAGCTTATATTTATTTCATCAGGAGTATCTGGGACCTTTTTAAACACATTTCTCAGCTGTGGTAGCAAAAGCTTGTGTCCTCAAAGCTCAAAATTTAAAGCTACCCAGAGGTTTGAAGAAACAAATTTTCATCATTCTACAGCAGAGCTGTGGTTGAGAACACAATTTTTTTTATAAAGGTCTAGCTCAGCTATTAATAAAAAGAAAAAGATTGCTTTGAATTGTGCTCTGAGCACAAAGGTGCTTTCTGACTGGCTAATCGCTCTGAAATGCAGAGGGGAAATATGTGTATTGGAGGAGCTCTGGGCATCAAGATTAGATTGAACTTTTTGCTACAGAAATTTTGGCTCTTGCAAGCCCTTTGACCTACTAGCCCCCTGCCCTAGAAGTGGCCAGTTCAGCTGTAAGTGAGGCCACTGGCCCTTTTTTTTTGCCCTTTTCCTTGTCAGCGGTCTTAATGTGGTTCTCCAGACCAAAGCTCCCTTTTTCCAAGTCAACTCCAAATCTGGATCCCTAAGTGGCCTGGTCTGGGGACCTTGAAGTTGCACAGATGTGGCTTTTTGAAAGGCATTGCAAATACTGCCCGCATCCCTGTTGATGCTGCAACTATTTTCAGTAGCGGGAAGTCGAATGTTAACATCTGTTCCCCTCCCACTCTAGGCCTGTTCACTCAGGATGCTTGTAAGGAGTACCTCTCTCTAAATATATAGATACACATTAAAATAGGGGTCTGTATGTATATGTAAAAGAGAGAGATGGAAAACACACGTTTCTGACACTTGACATGGATTGGGCAAATACATTTCCTGCTGTTTAATCTGACCCTAAGATTAATCATAGGAAGCGGAGCTGGAAACATGATAGAGTTGCAGGGCACCACATCGTGCATTGCATCAAGATGGTGAACCCAGTCACATCTATGGCAAATTAATGTGCAAGTGAAAAAAAAGGGGGCATAGTCTCTAATCCAGATTAGATTTATTATGGAAATTCTGTGTTTCAGCCTTTGGCCAAGCGATTCCTTCTCTTCTTATGATAGTTCTGATAATTTATTTTGCCTGTTGATGTCATCCCATCCGACAATTGCAAACAATGGGAAGAAACCACTTTGAAATTCCTTTCATGTCAGTGGAAGACAAGCAAGTGCATAAACCTCCCATTGAAAGCGGTGGTGATTTTGAAATGCTAAACTTTGTATGGATTGTGTGCAGTTTGATTTAAGGTTATGCCATACGTTCTTTGGAGTCGTTGGGTCTGGTAAACAATTAATACCTCTTTGAGTATCCAAAATGTGAATCTTTTTCCCATGGGAGTCCGCTTGTAAATATAGCACTTTGGGGACCATATGCTAAGGAACACACCAGTTGGGATAAATTATTTCTCCCAGTTGTATCTTTGGGCACAACACTCTGTGCCCATCAAATATATGTATATCTAGCTATCAGCTTAAGTGTGAGAATATTTGGTCCTCTTGTTTGCATTTACAAACATTCTAGTGAGATTCATTTGTTAGTGCCCTGTTAAGTATTACTGTGAATTATGAGCATTTCTACAAGTGCTTTAGGTTCAAAGCACTGCACGCTCGTTATCTTCTAACCTTACAACAGCCCTGTAAGGTAGATCAGTATTATTACCTTCATGCTGCAGATGTGGGGCTGAGGCTAAGAGTGGCTTGCCTAATGGCCAGCTTGTTTGTTCATAGCAGAGTCAAAGCTCACATCAGGGACTTCCTGGCTTGTATCCTAAGTCACTGGGAACCAAACTACAAAATAATGCTAGCTGCATTTTTTAAACAAGCATTCTTATCCTGGCCAATCTTACCTTTAGGAGAAGCCTCAAAGAGTGCAACTTAGCATGCTCCCAGCCCAGTCCAGAAGTGTGCCACTTTTTTTGCTGAAAATTGTTTCTCTCCTGGTGACTTTTTGCCCTCCAAAGTTCTGTAGTGCTTATTCCAAACAGCACCTTTGGAAAACAAATAATGGATGTGTGTGACCTGGGTGGGGAGCAGTTTCCAACAGGAAGCCTGCACTGGGTCCCTATTGAGGAATGCATTCCAGGTCAGGGCCTTCAGCTGCTTTTTGTCCAAAAAGAAAGCAGTCGTGTTGAGCAAGCATCACTCGTGTCATGTGTAGTTCAACCGGAGCCACTGCACTGTTGGGTTGTGGCAGAGTGCAGTCAGCTCAACAGCAGATTGTGTCATCGAACCCAGTGGTTGTAGAAGGAATTAGGCCAGGAAGTTCAGTAAGGTCAGCAACAGTATGTTTTACTAGCAGGTAGTAGAAGAACAGTTCTTTAGCATTCTTTTCTAGGGTGTGTGTGCTAGATTCTACATAGCTTGTTGCTGAACAGGTGTTCCAACCCACATTGGGGGTGCCTGGCTCGTGTGTGTGACGTCATGTGCATCACACACATGACATCACACAGCATGACACGGTGAACACATGACATCACATGGTGCAATGAGGCCCGTCACAGCCTCTGAAAGGCCCTGCAAATTGGCAAAGTGATCAAATGGAGAATAAAGTAAAAAGCACTGAAAGTTATGTGACATCTCTCTTCCGCCCCAGATGGCTGAAAGGAAATCCTGTGGCCAGGGCACCACTGTGAGTGCCTAAACACCCTGTGCAAACCATTGATGACTTTATGCTCACCTACCAACTGGGCAATAATATGTTCCAATTTAGTTTATAAACTTATCAGTGCATTGATATGTAACCCTCCTCACTGAGTTAAGTAGGTAGGCATGGAGTTTTTGTTTGCTTTGCAAGGCAACATGGAATCTTTGTAGACAGGTTAAATTTTAGGATTTTATTTAGCTTTGGCTTACCTGGACCAATACCATACTAGGCATTTGTTTGGTTGAGCTATTTAATTTTTATTTATTTTTTGGAATATTAAGGAACATATGAAAATAAGTGCTTGTGCATATTTCTCATTCAAATCTTCTGTGTAAACAAATCAGTCTCTAATAAAAAGGGATATTTCCTCATGTCTGTGTATGCCCTTTCTTTGTACAACTAACAAGACATCCCCCCCCAAAAAAAACTGATTCTAATTTTATATTTATTATTTGCATGCAAATCGTAGCCTCATCTGCTGTTTTGTTCTCTGGGCGCTTCCCATCTGTTGCAAAAGAGAAGAAGAAAACTAACTCAGCTCATACTTCAGCATGGAGGTTAGAGTTGAGGGTACTTCCAATCTTTTTTTGTCATCACCTGCCTTGCTCTAACAGTGAAGAGAGAGAAGAGCCTTGGCTGATGATCAGAGTTTCTTAACACAAGTTCAGGGATTGTGACAAATTAATTTGCAGGACACAACAGTCTGCATTGTTGTGGGAGTTAAAAAGGACACTCGCCATGGATCAGCCTACTGACCTCAAAGTTCTGATGCACAGATTTCTGCATATTCTTTGCTACACACAGCAATAAAAGCTAAGACCTTGCTGCTGCTGCTGCTGCTGCTGTTTGTTTTTAAAAGCACCAACAAAGGTAAGGCATGCAAATTCTTCACTCCTATAATTAACCTGCTGTGCTGTGTGCAGTTTGTGGTTATTTATACTGCCCTTCATCTGAAGATCACAAGGCGCTTCACAACATAAAAAAAGAAAATGAGAATACAAAATAAACCACAAAACCAATAATCCCTTCTCCCACATAGCAAATGTTTTACTTTGCACTCAAATTTAAGCATTCCAGAGTGAACAGACATTTCCCATCTGCTTTATTGTAACCCTTGATTCTTCTGTTGCTTATACGACCCAGAATTGCACTGTACTTTTCCACTCTTGTGTTATACAAGTGTCCATACCTACTTCAGTGCAGGTTGTTTTTGGCACTGCTTTTTTCCCAAGCATTTCATTTCAGCATTTCTTCACTTGGGTGGGTGTGTTTTTAATCAGAACATCAGCAGTTGTAGAGCTCTTGTATTATCATAGATAAGTCTCACTGGATCACACTTCCTTTGAGAAGGTGAAGGTGAAATACGTGGAGTCACTGTCCAAGATATATGTGTGATACATATGCCTGATGGGACAGTAGCTAAATGCTGACCAATGTCTGCATGGTTCGGCACAGTTTTAATTCCACATCTCAATTTAAGATTGCCACTCTGTTCACTACACCACATGGGATTTAACGTAGAAACCTTAAAAAAAATACATAGTTGAGTGTTAGGTGTGCAGATGTACAAAGCAGCCAAGAACCAGGCCTGTAAAAGTAGCCCTATACACCGGGTCACATTTGATGGGTGTTTTTAAAACAATTTTGCTCTATTGCACTTCTGACTTGAATGGCAAATCTGTTCCTCCTATTGTTTCATAGGAAAGGCAGGGAATACGTATGCTATTGCTTGACACCAGCAGAAAATATTTTATGGCGGCCCAATTAATCAGCAAGACTTTCTTACACCCTGGTACAGAATAAAGCTGGTTTTATATTTTATGTTTCTCGTATTAGGTTTCAATTTTTGTTAACTTGCAAACTGCCTAGACAACTTCGATTCTTGGATGGTAGATAGATATTGAAAAGAAATAACATTAATACCTTAAAATTATTATGGAAGTGTAAAGCTACAAAAGCCAAGCTGCATACATGCACGTACACATCAAGAATCCTGGGCACCATAGTTTATTCCTTACAGAACTACACTTCCCAGCACCTTTAAACTACAGTTCCCAGGCTTCACATGGGGGTGGAGGAGAATGTGCCTTGAATATATGGTGTGTAAGCAGCCTAGGTAGCTATAGACATGGATTCAAAAGTGCATTGTATGGGTTTGTATACTGTTTTCCTCCAGTTTCCACCAATTTGCCTCCTTTCAGTTGCCCAAGCCACATCCATGCTGTTTCAAAGGAGTGTTTTTTCAGGAGCAGAGCGAGGGTGAAGAAAGCACCATTGCCTGAGAGGAGTTATGCTCATGCCATAAGTAGGAACATCGTGCTTTGGGAAGACTCCTGCTGGACCCAAATGCACACACAGTGGCTCTACTTTGACAAAAATGTAATCTTTCTTGGATGAACTTTCTAGGAAAAGGTCCAGCTACTTTGAGAAAGGAATGCAACAACTGTTGAAATAGTGGCGTGACAACTGGAAAGATCTGGTGCCGATCAAAATATCAGTTGCTCAGAATTTCATCTTTGATGAGGCTGTTAATTGGTCGTGTGTTACCAAGATTTAGCAAGACGGGCATCTTGGCTGCGACCTCTGAGATGGTTCTAGCAAAGTAACCAGTTTAGCAACAGGTGTCAGGAAAGAGTTGGGAATTGTGTCTAACAATGCCTTGCCCTGAATGACGTGTCCAGTGACTGGTTTGTATGTTACTAGATCATGCAAATAGACCGCACAATTGCTTCTAGTAAATTCAATCTTCTGTCTCGTTTTTAAAGTGAGCTTCTCAGCTAGGAGCAATCAAAATTAAAACACTACCAGCATCTTAACTCATAATCTTAAAAGCTGTAAAATAGCGTCTGACACCATTCAAAGGGCATTTTGGCTCCAATACATCCGTCTGGACATCCTTGGATTTCAACCAAAATGCTTCTGCAAAACCAGCCAGCTTTTCGTTTTATTAATTCAGCTGGATTTGGAGATGCCAGATCTGTGACCTTTTGCATCCATGTACTGTCTTATGGATAAGATCCTGGATCACTGGGATGACAGCACTGTTGCTCAGCCAAAAAATATAAAGCTACTTGGAAGTACAAACAAACACTATAAACACACATTTTATCTTGACACTTACCTGAAACAGCTGTTTGTTTTGTATAAGTTATTAAGGCACAATTAAATGCAACGGGTTCTATGTATATGAATTTTTGTGTGCATTACAGTAGCCTTTTTTTAACTAACAAAAATAACACTTTCATATAATTCCTATATGGCCATTGAAGGCAGAAGTTTAAGCCAATGGCCCTGATATTTACCGTATTTTTTGCTCTATAAGACTCACTTTTTCCCTCCTAAAAAGTAAGGGGAAATGTGTGTGCGTCTTATGGAGCGAATGCAGGCAACGCAGCTATCCCAGAAAACAGAACAGCAAGAGGGATTGCTGCTTTCACTGCGCAGCGATCCCTCTTGCTGTTCTGGCTTCTGAGATTCAGAATATTTTTTTTCTTGTTTTCCTCCTCCAAAAACTAGGTGCGTCTTGTGGTCTGGTGCATCTTATAGAGCGAAAAATACAGTACATGAGGGAGTAAATGTAGCTGCTGAAAAAGGTGTTATTTAGCCTGCTCCAGCATGTTTGTCTTATATTCTTAAGGTTGAGCATTTGCCAGGACCTTAGGTTCAGCAGAGGGCCAGCCATCTTCCATTCTATCATTCCTACTTTGCAGAGTATCCAAAAGGATCACATGCAGATTAATAACATTTTTGTTCTGAATCTTTCAGGTTCAAGGAACTCACTAAGAGTGCCATGGCTAAGGGCCTCCAAAATCCTGGAGCCAGTATTTGGAGACCAAACAGGGCTTTCTTTACATGCCACTGACAAGGAGTGGGGGAATTTGAGACTTTCCGAGAGCCATATCCCAATGGTCACTCATCTGCTTTGCATGTCTTGAGGTCAGTCCCCAGCATCTATGAAGTGTAGGTGGGTTCCCACGAGGCAAGACACAGTGATAACAGCAAGAACCTTTCTTGAACTACATAACTGGGAAACAGAGGCAAAGCAACTCCTTATATACATTTCTGAAAGCCTGAGCCACTCCCACTCCCAACATGATTGGCTGTCTACACTTCCAAACTGCGAATCACGACTCAGAGTTCAAGGGCCAATGGCAGAGGCCCAAATCCTGAAATGTTCTGTGATTGGACAACATGTATCAAATCAGAACACAGGAGCTCAGAATCCTTAGACTCAAGCTCAGGCAAACACAGACCACTGAATACATAACAATCTACAGCTGGAAAAACTGTCTGAAATCATGGAAAGGCACAGCCAGTCAGTGTAGACTGAGCTAGATAAACAAAGTTAAACTCAGAAGCCAGCTTCTTAGGTTCCAGTTTGGTTGGTGCTCCCACTTTTCTGCTTACCTCGCAACCTGAACTCAGGCAACTAGTCCCTTGTCTTTCGCCTTTTATCAATGCTGGGCAATCTGGTTCACGAGAGATAGCTCAGTTGGTAGAGCATGAGACTCTTAATCTTAGGGTTGTGGGTTTGATCCCCATGTTGGGCAAAAGCTTCCTGCATAAATGACCCTTGTGGTCCCTTCCAAGTCTACAATTCTATGACTCTATGGTGTATTTCCTGGCTTTTTCTTCCCCACCCTCCTTTTTTCCTTAACTGTTTCTGAGCATCAGAAATATAGGCTCTCAAAGGTTATTGCAAAGGGAACTTTCCTACTGTCTGCAACTGTACCATCCTGCCACAAAAAGCAGTGCCCTTACAAACAGCTGGAGTTCTCAAGAAATAAGAGACCTACAAATATGTTTTCTTCAGTATTTGTGCTACTGACATTCTGATCCTGCCCCCTTGAAGTGAGATTTATTGCAGCCAGTTCGAAAAAACTAAACAATTAATATTGTTAAGGTGTTCTCCATCTGCCTCTTTATTCGTCCTAAGAGACAGCAAGCGGTTTATGATTGGAATCAGATTGGCAAAGAGAGTGACATCTTTATGATATTTACTGGAGAAACAAGCTGAAGAGATTACATCAATTGGGGTAGGATGCCAAGAGAGTTAATTATTTCAATAACTTGAATGTCTGGAATCCTGGAGATTCTACATTGTTTTTCTTTGAAGAGTTGCATTTGTTTTGGTGAAATGGAACCATGTCAAATTCAGATTGCCCACGCTATGCTTTAAATGTCTGAGCAATATTTGGATGGCCCAGTGATTATTATTCTGTTTAATTTAAGATTGCTATTTTCAATTTTTTAAAAAAAATAATTCAATAAGAAAAAGACCAAAGATTCAGGTGTTTGCTTAGAACTATGAGAATCAATTTATTCTTGGTGCTGAGATATGATTGATATAAACGTTTTTATATATTTTACT